CGCTGACGCCGACGCTGCTGACGACGAAGCCGCCGACGCCGCCGCCGCCGCAGACGACGACGAGAACCACGGCGACGACGACGACGACGACGACGACGACGACGACGAGAACGACGACGACGACGACGACGACGACGACGACGACGACGCCGACCGCGCCGCCGAGGGCCGGGCTGCTCCGACCAGCCCAGCTCGCAGGCTCGCCCAGCGAGCGGCCGCCCCGCGAGCCTGCGCCCCATGAGTGTGTCGTCGGCGTCGCCATCGGCGTCGGCGTCGGCGTCGTCGTCGGCGTTGGCCTCGGCGTCGGCGTCGTGGGCGCCGGCGGCGGCAGCCGTCCGAAGCAGTTGCCAGTGTCCATGTTCAAACCCCATGGTCCAATTCCACGTCCTCCTCGTCCTCCTCCTCCATCCTCCTCCTTTTCCTCCTGTTTGTTTTCCGTCTTTTTTTTTTTTTCTCCTCCTTCTTCTGATTATTCCTCATATTGCGATTATTCATTGTATTTGTGTGTTTGTTTTTAGTATTACTTGATTCATATTATTCCTCTTATTCCTCGTATTATTCTTCTTATTATTAGTATGTTAAAATTATTTTCTTGGTGTTGTTATTATTCTTCATATTAGTATGACGATTAATCTTCTTACTCATATTATTTCTTCCTCATAGTATTCCTCATATTATTCATGTTATTAATAATTCGTACTATTATTCCTCATATTATTTCTTCTTCTTCTTCGAAATATTATTTCTCTTATTCCTCTTCTTCCTCCTCCTTCTCCTCCGCCCTCCTCGTCCTCCTCCTCCTCCTCCTCCTCTTCTGTCCTCCTCCTCCGCCCTCCTCCTCCGCCTCCTCCTCCTCCTCCACCCCCTCCTCCTCCTATTCCTCCTCCTCCTCCTCCTCATCCTCCTCCTCCCTCCCTCTCTCCCTCCGATCTCCCTCCTCCCTCCTCCCTTCCTCCCCCCTCCTCCCTCCATTTTCCTTTTTCCTTCCTCCTTCCTCCTTCCTCCTTCCTTCTTCCTCCCTCCTCCATCCTCGTTCCTCCCTCCTCCCTCCACCCTCCTCCCTCCAACCCTCCCCCCCCCCCCCTTTTTGCCTCCCGCCCCGCGCCCCCCCCCCGCCCGCCCGCCCGCCCGCCCCTCCTCCCTACCTGCCTCCCTCCCTTTTCCTCCTCTTCCTCCTCCTCCTCCTCCTCCTCCTCCTCCTCCTCCTCCTGCGCCTCCTTCCACCTCCTCCTCCGCCTCCTCCGCCTCCTCAGCCTCCCTCCTCCTCCTCCTCTCTCCTCCGCCTCCTCCCCTCCTCCTCCTCTCCTCCTCCTCCTCCTCCCTTGTTTGCTCCTTGCCTCCTCCTGCTCATCCTCCCCTCCTCCTCCCTCCTCCTCCTCCTCCTCCTCCTCCTCCTCCTCCTCCTCATCATCATCATCATCATCATCATCATCATCATCATCACCAGCATCATCATCATCATCAGCATCATCATCAGCATCATCGTCATCATCATCAGCATCATCATCATCATCATCATCATCATCATCATCATCAGCATCATCATCATCATGTTTTGAACGGATACGATCAGTATGAGTATTAGCATTCGCATTGCTGCTATTAGTAACACAACTATAGTTTTATTAATATTATTAGCATTAGTATGGTCACTGCTAGTGCGATGCTTAAGAAGTAATTAAAATAGTAGCGCGGCTCGTCGTATTCGTCTTGCCAGTATGATTATTATCGTTCGTCTCATTCATAATATTATTAATTGTAATAGTAGTGTTAGTGTTGTTACTGTGAGTAAGATTACGACTAATAGTACTAGTAGTACTGGTATTCGTATTATTAGTATTAGTATTAGTAGTGATCATGTTCGTGTAATCATGAGCATTAGTAGTGTTAATACCGTGATTACAGATATGATTAATAGTAGTCGTGATGTTATTACGAGTACGAGTATCATTACCATCAGCGTCACCATTATTAATAATGTGAGCGTGCTTCTTATTATTGATAGTACTATGCGTATCCGTATCATTCTTCTTCGCACTAGTAATATGTTCGTCGTATGTTTCTTACGATGCGTATTCGTAGCATGTGTACGTGTCCGTTTCTTATGCGTGTCCGTACTATGTTGGTTCGTAGTAGCATCAGTAGTCTTCTTATTGTTCGCATTAGTAGCATTGGTCGTCGTATTCGTCGGCTTCGTCGTATTCTTCTTGCTAGTCATAATAGTAGCCGCGTTCGTTGTCGCATTCGTAAAGTTCGCCTTATTCGTATTGTTATTATTCGCATTCCTTATATAAGCCGTAGTATTCTTGATACTATCAATGGTATCATTATTAGCCGATGATTACTTAAAACTGTTTTTATTCGCCGTCCTCCTATTCCTGCGCCTCCGCCTCCTCCTCCTCCGCCTCCTCCTCCGATTCCTCCTCCTCCTCCTCCTCCGCCTCTTCCTCCGGCGCCTCCGCCTCCTCCTCCTTCTCCCCCTCCTCCTCCCCCGCCTCCGCCTCCGCCTCCGCCTCCAACTCCTCCTCCTCCTCCCGCCCCCCCTCCTTCTCCTCCTCCTCCTCCTCCTGCCCCTCCTCCTCCTCCTCCGCCTCAGCCTCCGCCTCCGCCTCCCCCTTCGCCTCCGCCCCCGCCTCCGCCTCCGCCTCCGCCTCATCCTCCTCGTCCGCCTCCCCCTCCTGTTCCTCCCCCTCCTCCTCCTCCTCCTCCTCCTCCTCCTCCTGTTCCTCCTCCTTCCTCCTCCTCCCCCTCCTCCTCCTCCTCCTCCTCCTCCTCCTCCTCCTCCTCCTCCTCCTCCTCCACCTCCTCCTCCTCTCCCCCTGCTCCCCTCCCCCCTCCCCCTTCCTGCCCCTCCTCTCCTCCTCCTCCTCCGCCCCTCCCCCTCCTCCTCCCTCCTCCTCCTGCTGCTGCTGCTGCTCCTCCTCCTCCTCCCCCTCCCTCCCCCCTCCTCCTCCTCTCCTCCTCCTCCTCTCCTCCTCCTCCTCCTCTCCTCCTCCTCCTCCTCCTCCTCCTCCTCCTCTCCTCCGCCTCCTCCTCCTCCTCCTCCTCCCCTCCTCCTCCTCCTCCTCCTCCTCCTCCTCCTCCCTCTCCCCCTCTTCCTCCTCCTCCTCCTCTCCTCCTCCTCCTCCTCCTCCTCCTCCTCCTCCTCCTCCTCCTCCTCCCTCCTCCTCCTCCTCCTCCTCCTCCTCCTCCTCCTCCTCCTCCTCCTCCTCCTCCTCCTCCTCCTCCTCCTCCTCCTCCTCCTCCTCCTCCTCCTCCTCTCCTCCTCCTCCTCCTCCTCCTCCTCCTCCTCCTCCTCCTCCTCCTCCTCTCCTCCTCCTCCTCCTCCTCCTCCTTCCCGCCTCCCCCTTCCCCCCCCCCCCTCCCCCCCCCCCTCCCCCTCCCCCTCCACCCATCCCCCTTCCCCCGCCTCCCCTCCCCTTCCTCCTCCTCCCCCTTCCTCCTGGCTCGTACCCAGGGCGGCCCTTGGATGATCTGCTTTTACTCGATGCACAGCTGCCCGAGCAACAGGGACCACGGCCGCGGCGGCCGTCTCTGTAATGGGTGGGGCGAGGGGAGCGAGGAAATTGTACAGGGTGAAAGCGGCGAAAGGGAAGAGAAGAGACTCTGGGGTTGGGTTCACGAGGCCGACTCTCTCAAGGATTCTGGTTCTGGCGGGCGGCCCGCGATTCTGCTCACTAGATTGAGGAACAGAAGACACATCAAATAATGTCTGAGACAGTCACGCTCACCCTCACACCCTAGAATACAATTTGTCTGGCCTTGAAATCTGCGGCTCGTGGTCCAGGCACCGCTGAAAGTGTTCAGAACTCCCCAGGCCCACGCAGGGGACAAGAAGACAGAGAGCAACGCACCAGGTCCCAGTCCACGGCACGGATTCGAGGAGCGAGGACGGGGAACCAAGACGACAGACGGCGCGTGAAGGTCGACGCGAGGACGGGGGGAAGGAGGGAAGAGGTCAGAACGCGCCCCAGGTCTCTCTGCAGCTTGATTTTGCCAGTGCTCGGCTCGCGAAGGTCAGGCGCGAGCAGCTCTCTCGCCGCGGCCAGGGCAGCTTGCCCAGCCACGCTCCATGAAATCGAATTCGAGAATCCTGCCGAGGCCTCGCGCAGCTCTTCTACAAATGAGCGGCTCTTCCAGAATTCGGGGCTGCATTTTTTCTGGATGAGCGCGACGACGGGGCGGTTCCTCTCAGCGGCTCTCAGGAACTGTTGCCAGAGGAACGGCCACTGAGGAAAGGTGGCGAGAGCAGATCTCATCAGCGAGGCCAGACACATCACATTCGCTGATTGGATTTGTGGCCCTCCTCCTCTTCCTCCTCCTCCTCCGTAGTTGATGATCCTCAGAGCGCGTATCAGCGCCAACGTGTGCTTGCTCGCCGAAGCCCTTCTCAGTGCGACGCAGGCGGCGTTCTCCATGCCGACACAGGCTGCGTGGTGTCGGCGAAGTTGGGCGGGGTGGCCGCACATCTCACGAACACACGTCCTGAGGATCATCGACAACTCCACGTCCTCCTCCTCTCCTTCCTCCCTCCTCCCTCCTCCCTCCTCCTTCCCCAGGGGGTGTTGGGGATTGGTGCTTTGGGCCTGCGAGCCTCTGGACCCTGGGATTCTGATACCGAGGCTGTCAGAACAATGGGCCGAGAGGCCTTGGCTAGAACGGCCGCCGATCCCGAGGCCTCCGAAGGTGAGAGCGACGGAGAATGTTGTTGAGCCAGCCTGACGCCTTCAGGGCAAACCAACTCCTCCTCCCCCCCCGCCAAGTTCCCCCAGAATCCGACCGACGCCCCCCGAAGCCAGCTCCGAGTGGAGGCCTCGACGACGACGACGACGACGACGATCGACGATCGACCCCCAGACGTCTCCTGGAGCGCGATTACCAGGAAGCCGTGGCGACGGGGGCACTCCCGGAGGCCCAGACGAAGCCCGAAAGCGTCCAGGAGCATCCATCGAACAGCGACCCTCGACGAGGACGACAGCGGTGACCGACGGCGACGTCGCCTGGCCAGGGCGACCTCCGCGTCGTGGTAGGAGTGGAAGTTCGGCGGCTGCGACACGGGCGAGCAGCCCAGGGGGGACACTACACGCATTCGCCATCGAGCGCCGTCGTGTAGCCAGCCCGCTGGGGCCCCGGCATACGCGCGGCCCACTCCAGGGCTTGTGCTGTTCCCGCCGTACGTAAGAACTACATCCCAGAAATAAGATCGAGCAAAGCATCGAGACATTGTCTCCCCGACACGCTAGAGAAGTGTCGGTCGAACGAGTATCGCCTCCCAGGGCCCGACATGTGAAAACCCCCAGTTTCGGTCATCTCGTGGTGCTCGACATCCTCTCTGGTGACCAAGGCCAAACTAGGTTGGAACATCACAATCCAAGACCCCTGCATCAAAAACAGCAACATAAACATACAGGCCTCCTCGATGGGGTCGGAGTAGATGGGGTTGGAGGATCGCGCCGCATCGCCGATACATCGCCGCATCGCCGATACATCGCCGATGCATCGGCGATGCATCTCTGATGCACCAGCGATGCATCGCCGACGTCGGCGATGCATCGGCGACGTCGACGTGAAGCAAATCGGGCCCCACATCGAGCCGCATCGGCGATGCATCGGCGATGCGGCGCGATCCTCCGACCCCATCTGAGTATCGTTTAACCGATCCCCACCCCCTGCGGCGTGGCCTGGGCCCCACTGGCCGACTTACCCCCCTAGATGGGGATGTGTATATATATATATATATATATATATATACATATATGCATATATATATATATATATATATATATATATAGAGATATATATCCTTCCTTTCGGGTTTCGAGGGGTGTATCCCCAACTGGGGTGGCAATCTAGTGGGGGCCTCGAAGGGGAATGGGGATGGGGATGGGAGTCGGATACTCCAGATTTCGTAATAAAGGGAGGGGGGTCTCATTTCGGGGGGGGTCTCTTCCAGGCTATCTTGGAGGGCCTGGGGGGTCTGGGGACGATGTTTTGGAGGGTTCTCCCACGGGGGAGGTCTGAAATGGCTTGTCTTGGAGGGTCCAGACCCCCTCCCTTTTGTTACGAAATCTGGAGTAAGCGATACTGACCATCTGCTCCGACCCCAACATGGGAGGCCCAGCGAGCATGCACCTCCTGAGATGGCACCCGGCGCCGCCCTCGCTCTGCCCCCGCTCCGCCTCCGCCGGCCCTCCGCTGGCCTCCCGATGCGCCTCCCGCCGAGGAGGGAAGAGAAAGCGCCCCTCCTGCGTTTTCTCTCCCTTCCTCGGCGGAAGGCGGATCGGGAGGAGGAGGAGGAGGAGGAGGAGGAGGAGGAGAAGGGAGGGAGCAGGGAAGAGGGAGGAGGGGGGTGGAAGGGGGGAGGAGGGAGGAGGGAGGAGGGGAGGGAGGAGGGGAGGAGGGAGGAGGGAGGAGGGGGAGAGGAGGAGGAGGAGGAGGGGAGGAGGAGGAGGAGGGAGGAGGAGGGGGAGAGAGAGGAGGGGGGGATGGTGAGGAGGAGGAGGAGGAGGAGGAGGAGGAGGAGGAGGAGGAGCGGCAGGTCCCGCTCGTCGCCCGGGTCGGCTGTGGGCCCCTCGCGGCAGCGCCGCACACGCAGCGCCCCTCCTGCGCGCCGAAGGCCTCGGGCACTTCCCCCCGGGGACGATCCGCCCTGCGCCGAAGACGAGAAGACGCCCTCTGAGCCCCCTCGAGTGCGAGGCCCTCTCGGCAACGCCGCACACGCAACGCCCCTCCTGCGCCCCGAAGGCGTGGACCACTTTCGCCCGGGGGGGGGGGGGTCGACCACCCGCCCCCCAGAATGCGCTCGTGAGGGCCCGCGGGGCCCGGTGACCGGCCCCGAAGGCCGACGTCCGGGAAAAGCGGCGGGGTTGCAGCAAGCAGATCGTCAGAGACCTGCACGTCGGTCGGAAGAAGTGGGCAGAAACATGAAGCAGGAAGGCGTCGGGAGTGGATAGGGTCTCCGCCCGCCCCCTAAAGATGAGAAACAAACCACAGCAGCAACAACAGCAACAGCAACAACAGCAACAAAAACAGCAGCAACAACAACAACAACAACAACCACAACAACCACAACCACAACCACAACCATAACCATAACCATAACAACAACAACCACAACAACAACAACCACAACAACAACAACAACAACAACAACAACAGCAGCAACAACAACAATCAGTTTAAGACTGCTCGCTCTTACTGGCACGCGTGTCTTGCATTCCGTATACCCCAACCCTCGATGCCCGCCCACTTCGTCTTCGATTGCACCCCCTTTCGGGGGGAATATCTTCCTTGTCGGCCACTGACTGAAGTGCGGAGAAGTCTCGAGCGAGAGCGCCGATCCTGAGTTCGGTGGCCTCTCTGGCCAGGGGCTCTCAGAATCGGAGGTTGGGGGGTAAGATCGCAGTGGAACGGAGACCCCCAACTGGGAAATCGTTTCGTTTCGTTCGTGTCGTGCGTGCGGGCGAGGCGAAGCTGCGTGGGCGCGCGAAAGGAATGAACCCGCCGTTGCTAGGGCGAAGTCAAAACCAAAAATTCTCCCCCTCCCGCCCGTCCGGCCCTGGCCCGCGGTGTCCCGCGGTGTCCCGCGGTGTCCCGTGGTGTCCCTTGGTGTCCGCCGCTGCTAGGGCGAAGTCAAGACAAATGATTTTCCCCCTCCCGCCCGTCCGGCGGTGGCCCGCGGTGTCCCAAGGTGTCCTGTGGTGTCCCGTGGTGTCCCGTGGTGTCCGCCGTTGCTATGGCGAGGTCAAGACAAATGATTCTCCCCCGCCAGCCCGTCCGGCGGTGGCTCGCGGTGTCCCGCGGTGTCCCGTGGTGTCCCGTGGTGTCCCGTGGTGTCCCGTGGTGTCCCGTTGAGTGAGATCGATAGTGAGATCGATAGTAACATCGATACTGAGATCGATGTGGTGCCCCGAGGTGTCCCGTGGTGTCCCATGGTGCCCCAAAAAGTGAGATCGATAATGAGATCGATAGTGAGATCGACAGGTGTCCCGTGGTGTCCCGTGGTGTCCCGTGGTGTCCCGTTGAGTGAGATCGATAGTAAGATCGATGTGGTGTCCCGAGGTGTCCCGAGGTGTCCCGTGGTGTTCCGTTGAGTGAGATCGATATTGAGATCGATAGTGAGATGGACAAGTGTCCCGTGGTGTCCCGTGGTATCTCGTGGTGTCCCGTGGTGTCCCGTTCAGTGAGATCGATAGTGAAATCGATTGAATCAGATGTTAGTTCCCCCCCTCTCCCCCCCCCACAGCCTCCTTATCACCCGAAGGGTGGTCGTATAGGTACCTATGGAGAAATATCGAACGGGAGCCCTTGTCGCCGTGTCCGGGCCTCCACCAACTTGCTTGAATTACGGAAAAGTTTCGAACAAGAGCGCCGTTCCCGACTTCGGAGGCCTTCTTGGCCAGGGGCTCTCGGAGTAAATCGTGAGGAAGTATCGAGCAGGAGCCCTTGTCGTCGTGGCTGGGCCTCCGCCAACTTAATTGAATTGCGAGGAAGTCTCGAGCGACAGCGCCGTTCATGAGTTCGGGGGCCTCTCTGGCCAGGGTGTCGCGGGGCAAATTGTGAGGAAGTATCGAGCGGGAGCCGTTGCTGTCGTAGCTGGGCCTCCAAGGGCCCGCATTTAGGCTCAAGCCAACGCTCGAGCGGGAGCCTCGTTTTCACAGAAAATGTAGCCGGTGTCGAGGCGAGAGCGCGCGGAACCGTTTCTGGAGATCAACAGTAAGTATTCTTTAGAGATGAGTGTTCAACAACAACAACAACAACAACAACAACAACAACAACAACAACAACAACAACAACAACAACAACAACAACAACAACAACAACAACAACAACAACCAACAACCAACAACAACAACAACAACAACAACAACAACAACAACAACAACAACAATCACTTTACCCGAACGCTCAGTGTTCTCACCAGTGCCAGGGTTTTCATGCGACGCCAGCCAATACCCCCACTTTGTGGGGGGGCAGTGCAAGCTCTACCAAATATCCACACGACTCTTCGCCACCACCCACACCCAGCTTCCCGCCCTATGACGTTCGGACACTTCACTTCGTGGCCTGCGGACGACCGTGGCTACTACACTGGCGTGGAGTAGGACAGCGCGCGCGGGTGAAATTTTGAAAAGTCGTGTGCAGGTGTTTTTCGAGGACCTACGGTGCGATTCGTGTGATTTTATGATGCGCGGTGCTAAAATTCTTAAGAAGCCCAATGGTTTTTGGAGATTTCGGCGTGCGCGCGCGAAAAAAAACGAATGTGTCCCGCATGGTATTATTTGACAGGGATGATGGCCCTGGCAGGTGCGCAACCGTTGTCGCAGAAGTTCGAAAAAGTTGCTCGCAAAAGCCCGTTTGACAGAAATGTTTAAAAAGTGTTGGGTTTCCTACGAATCCGCAAGAGCGCGCGGGATGAGATTTTGACATTTTTTTGTTGAAAAAACCATTGGTTTTTTGATGTTTTTATGTTAAAATCGTTCCGAACACTAAGCTTTTGGAAGGATTTCGTCTTGCACGCGCGAATGTCCACTTTACCTTATTTTTTGCAAGGGATTCTTGAAATTGGATTACATTTGAACAAGAAATTTCATTTTATAGTGTTTTTTGCAAGGGAAAACGGGGGGGAACAAAACAACCGGATCCGGTACTAATCCACTTTTCTGAAGCTTTCGCGAAAAAATGATGAAAATGTAGCTGCGGCCTAGGTTTTGGAGGGGGGTCGTGTACCAGGGGTCCCAACAATAATTATTCTTTAGAAGTAATAATGTTCAACAACAACAACAACAACAACAACAACAACAACAACAACAACAACAACAATTACTAGCACGTGGGGACACTCCGTTCTCACCAGTGCCAGGGTTTTCATAGGAGGCGGGCAATACCCCCACTTTGTGGGGGGGCCGGTTCAAGCTCTACCAAATTTCCAAACGACTCTTCGCCACCACCCACACCCAGCTTCCCGCCCTATGACGTTCGGACACTTCACTTCGTGGCATGCGGACGACCGTGGCTACTATTCAGGGCCCCGCGGCCGACGACGACGGCGTGCGCGCGCGAAGAAAAAACGAATGTGTCCCGCATGGTATTATTTGACAGGGATGATGGCCCTGGCAGGTGCGCAACCGTTGTTGCAGAAGTTTGAAAAAGTTGCTCGCAAAAGCCCGTTTGACAGAAATGTTGAAAAAGTGTTTGGCTTCCTACGAATCCGCAAGAGCGCGCGGGATGAAATTTTGACAATTTTGTTTGAAAAACCATTGGTTTTTTGATGTTTTTATGTTAAAATCGCTACGAAAACAAAGGTTTTGGAAGGATTTCGTCTTGCGCGCGCGAATGTCCACTTCACCTTATTTTTTGCAAGGGATTCTTGAAGTTTGGTTCTGTTAGAACAAGAAATATCCACTTTAACTTATTGTTTGCAAGGGAAAACCGATCGTAACAACACAACCGGATCCGGACTCCCCCGTTTTGCCTGAGACTTCCTCACGAAAATGATGAAAATGAGGCTGCGGCCTAGGCACGGCGGGGGGGTCGTGCACCAGGGGTCCCAACAATAATTATTCTTTAGAAGTAATAATGTTCAACAGCAACAGCAACAGCAACAGCACCAGCAGCAGCAGCAGCAGCAGCAACAGCAACAGCAACAGCAACAGCAACAGCAACAGCAACAATTTAAATCGAAGCAGGCAGGCACCCACAGCAGGCTGGGATCTGGGAGTCCCCCCCCCCAAAAAAACCTGCTCTCCAGCCCCCCGACCTGGGCGGCCCGCCCCCGCCCGCAGCCGCCCGCAGTTCACGAAGGCGTGGTTCTCGGAGCGCCACGTCCTCGGCCCGCGCGGGGCCCGCGCGGGCGGCGGCCCCCGCGCCCGCGGCCGCGGCGCCAGGCAGCCCGGGGAGGGCGGGGCCTCCGGAGGCCCCCGGCGACCTTCGGGGACCTCCGGAGGGGGCGGAGGAGAGGACGGAGGAGGAGCCGGCGGACGGGGAGGAGGAGGAGGAGGAGGAGGAGGAGGAGGAGGAGGAGGAGGAGGAGGAGGAGGAGGAGGAGGAGGAGGAGGAGGAGGAGGAGGAGGGGGAGCAGGAAGGAGGAGAAGGAGGAGGGGGAGGAGGAGGACGAGGAGGAGAGGAGGACGAGGAGGAGGAGGAGGAGGAGGAGGAGCAACCCCAAGATGCATCAACGACGATGCAATACATTTTGCGCACCCCAAGTCTCCAAGTCTCTACAAGCCTTCCCTTCCACTACAAGAGGCGCCCATTTCAAAGACCATCACCCCATCGGCCTGTCGTTCAAGCGAGAGCACCGTTTTGAACAAGAACTGAATGTTTCATTATTCTAGCGATCAGCGAAGCACGATCATGCAGTTCAACGAGGTGTCCATCGAGATCCCCGTTTTCGAAAAGGAACGCCCAACATCCGAGGAAATCTACGGTCACGAAATTCGAAACCTCAAGCGAAAATAAAATGCTGAGAAGGATTCGCCTTCCATCCATACAGCTGCTACACCTGTGCAACTTTCTGGTCGGAGAATTCCAATACCTCTGAAGCGAAAGCTCTATCTTGAAAAGGGGCTACCCACAATTCCTGTCATTGCTGCAGTGTCGAACCACGAACGCACGCGTCGCAAAGGAGAGAGCCCCACCTTTTGAAAACGAACCGCCATCCATCCACACACCCTTGAGATTGCTGCGACGTTCAGCAACGAATGTACTCCGCACGAAATCGACAGCCTCATTTTGAGAAGAAAGCGCCCCCATCCTTCAACCTGTTGCGAACTTTGGTGACGAATGAGCGCGGCGCTGACGCGAGAACCCGATTTTGAAAACCACCCCCCTCCTTCAGTTCAGTGGTTCCAAACTTTGGAGACGAATGCGCGCGGCGCTGAGGCGAGGGCCCAACCTTGAAGAACGAGCCGCCCTCCGCCCTTGAGGCTGCTAAAAGTTATACGACGAATCTGCGCAGCACCAAAGCGAGAACACTGCTTCTTCTTCTTCTTCTACGCATGCACAATGCGGGTCGCGCACGCGCGTGCCTCTCTCATACCCACAGCCCTACTGCTCAAACATGTTCGCGAATGTCTCCAAACCCCACTCGAGCGCAAGTGCCTCAGCCATCGCACAATTCTGAAAACCATCCCGCTCCGACCGTGTGACCGCTGCAAATGTCAGGCTTCACGACCAGAAAAGGGTAGGGAGGTCACGGGCGAAACACCCAGCCGACCCTGCCAACACGCCCGGGGGTGCGACGAGGAGGACATCTTACCTACGAGGAAAGACTGGAGGACGGCGGGGTCACGAGGAGGAGGTGGAGGGAGGGGAGGAGGAGGAGGAGGAGGAGGAGGAGGAGGAGGAGGAGGAGGAGGAGGAGAAGGACGACGACGACGACGACGACGAGGAGGAGACGGAGATGGAGGAGGAGGAGGAGGAAAACGAAGAAGAAGAGGAGGGAACGGAGAAGGAGGATCGGGAGGAGGGGAAGGACAAGGAGGACCGAAGCAAACCCAAGACGCACGAATGATGCCGCAAGACTTGCACCCTGGCACCCCACCTCGTCCCCGCAAGCATTCTCTTCACTGCGCGAAATGCCCCCCTTGAAAGACGATCGCCAGACGGACCATCGTCTCGGAGGGATCTTGGCTTTCGGCGGAATCGCCCCCCCATCCATCAAGCTAGAAAAGGAGCAGCCCTCCATCCTTGCACCTGTTGCACAGACTTGGACGTGTGCCACTTGAGTGAAGCGCTGACTCCTGGCCATGTTAAAGTGTAGCCGCTGCACGAAGCGTAACGCAGAAGGCGGGGCTGCTTTCGATCTTGTGAGAAAAAACACCCTGCATCCGTGCAGATGTTGCACGAGTCTAGACTCGTGGCAGCGTGCGCGGAGCCACGCCTGGAAGAGGAAGCGCCCTCCATCCGTGGTCGATGGGAAGCTGCAGAACAAGCGTGGCGCAAGGGCAAGAGCTTGGAGGCCCAGAAATGGGCACCAACACCAACACAGGGGGCTGCCTCCACATGGGGAAGATGATCCTAGATTTCGGTGTTGGTGGCAATATGTCGGCCACCTTGGAAGCCAGAATTATTACCACCATCACCGAGATCTGGATCTTCTTCCCTCGGGGGAGGCACACCGCCGATGTTGGTGTTGGTGGCAACCTCTGGGCCTGCGAAGAGCCACGCTCCGAAAACGAACCGACATCCGTGCAGACAGCTGCGGGCAACGCTCGCGACGAGTGCGCACGGTGCCAAAGCGAGGCCCACGCGCGGCCACCCGCGGGGGCGCAGGGGGAGGCCTCCGCCTGGCCGGGCGACGCCCAGCCCCGGGAGGCGCGGCAGCCCGACGAGCCCGACGAGGGGCCATGGGCAGGCAGAAGGCTACATCGAACTCGACAACGCCTTCGGGTCGCCGCGGCGCGGGGCACAGCGCGGCCGCAGCAGCACGGGGCACCCGGACGAGGCCACTGCGCAACCCGTGGCGCAGGAAGAGGAGCGAGCTCGACCGCGAGCCATGGGCAGAAGGCTACGTCGAACTCAGCAACGCGTTGGGTCGCAGCGGCGCGGGGCACAGCGCGGCCGAAGCAGCACGGGGCACCCGGACGAGGCCACTGCGCAACCCGTGGCGCAGAGGAAGAGGAGCGAGCTCGACCGCGCAGCAGGCACCCGCACACAACGCCGCGGCCGCCCGAGGGCCGAGGCTCGACGGACCGAGCCTTCCCCGCCCTGTCGGCTAGACGTAGGAGTGCCTCTGGGTGAGAGTGACCTTTGGTGCGCAGCTGTTTGGGGGGCGCGGGGGAGCCAAACCCAAGGGCGCGGGCCGCTTATATCGCATCGCGCTCAGCGATCGGGGGGAGCCCGATGAGCCCGCACCAGAGGTCACTCCGGCGAAGGGTCACTCTTACGTGCAGTCGAGTCCTAGCTTCCCCCGCCCACTCGCGGATGGCGGAGACACCACCGGCCGATGGTGCCTCCGGGCCCAAGGGGGCCATGCGCTTCTGCACTCGCCGAACCCTGGAGAACCCAGCGGCAGGAGAGAAATCCAATACTTTGTTCTCGATCTTGGTGGTGGTGGTCATGGAAATGCGCTCGGTACCGGGGCGCCCACCGCCGTCTCGCTCACCCCAGTCCGCCCGCCCGCCGCACCGCCAGCACCGGAGACTCGGTACAGGCTGTCGCCGCCGCCCAGCGGACAAAGCCCCGGGGGCCAGCACGGGCGCCAGGCTGACCATGTGAGCTCTTCTTATTCGGCGTCTCGACATTGAGCGAAGGGAGGGGGGTCTGGCTCCGGACTTCTGCGCGGTGCGACTGTCTGCAGCGGTGCGTCCTAGGGGGGAGACTCCACTTGCTTGAAACGGGCGCAAAAAAACAGCCGAGATCTGCTGCATGGTGGTGGGGAGGGGGGGGGTGCGAGGGCCCGCGCCGATCGGCAAAGCAATGAAGAAGACAACGATCACCACGCTCGCGAGGCGCGCCACGCGTGCCAGGTGCACCAAGGGCACCGGGCGCGACAGGCGGCCCAGGTGCCTAGGCGTGTCGGGCGCGCCTTCTCTGCCGGGCGCGCTGAGTGTACAGTGTGACTCGGGCGCGCCAGATGCGCCACGGGCACGACGCGCGAAGGGGAAAGCCCCAGTTGCGCCAGTGCACGGGGCAGCACACAGCGGACAATAGGCAGGCGCCGCCACTGTCCTTGCCGAACAACATCTGCAAGCTGACGGCGGAGTGGCCAGCATCGTGCACAGCGCGCGTATTCACAAAGAGGTTGCGTCGGATGTTGGTAACGATGGCAGGCCATTGCACAACGGAAAACACGACCCCTCCCCAACCATCCCTGACAAAAAGAATGCGAAAGGATGGTTGGGTGCCCACACGGGGTATAGAGTTTGCAGCAACTTGCATGTTGAGCTGTTGCTTAGCAGGGGTGGCGGGAGAAGGGGTTACTTGCCGCGGTCGGCGGCCGCTCGAGTGGTGTTGGCGGTGCTTTCCTACCACGGCGCGCTGATGGGGTAAAGGGTCGGGATTCGGGGTTCGCTGTAGCGGTACGGGGTGAAGGTTGGTGACGGGGCGACGGGGGGAGGGAGAGGGGAGGGGGAAGGGCAGTCGTCGGGGGGAAGGGAGGGGGAGGGGGGGGGAGGGAGGGGGGAAGTGGGAGCGGATCTAAGGCTGAGGCGTGGTGTCCCTCACCACCTTGACGGTCGTCACGGGGACCAGCTGGGTGAAGAAGCGGTACAGGGTCTCCTCGCACGCGCTCGCAAGCACGGCGCCCAAGGCCCCAGGGCTACCCTTTCGTTTCGGCGTAAAGTTCTGGCAGTGCCACGTTCTGTCAATTCTGCAAAGGCAGACGGGGAGGCCATGTCACGCGGTCACACTCACACGCCGGGAGGCCCAAAACATCAATGAACGAGATAGAAAGGGGGAAAGGGGAAGAAGAGTGAAGCGGGATGGTAGCAAAGGGATGGGGAGCGGAAATGTGTAGCAGCATGGAGAGAGGGGACAAAGAGGAGAGGACTGGGGACGAGAGGAAAACGGGGTGGAGAAGGATGAAAGAGATGGCTCTAGAACACACCCCCTCCTTGCGCAAGGGGGAAGAGGAAGAGGGTGGAGGAGATGGAAGAGGAGGAGGAGGAGGAGGAGGAGGAGACGGAGGAGGAAGAGGAGATGGAGGAGGAGGAGGAGGAGGAGGAGGAGAAGAAGAAAATGGAGGAGGAGGAGAAGGAAAAGGAGGAGGAGGAGGAGGAGAAAGAGGAGGAGGGGGGGGGAAGGAGGAGGATTTGCCCGTCTTCGATCGATTTCAGATTGCAGCACAGAGAGTGGAAAAAAGGGAGGCGGAGGACCAGTGCAAACCCAAGAAGCATCAACGATGTTGAAATACACCCTCCATCCAAGATCCATGTTCACTGGTCAGTACAACGGGTTATTTCCACTGAAGAAATTGCCTCGTTGGGGGTCAGCCGTGTGAGCATCTTGAAGCGCGCCAGAACACCACTCTCAGGACTTCCACGCCCCGAGTGCCCTGGCAATCCTGAATCGCTCCAGAACATCATTCCTGGCACGTTCTCTTGCACATGATTAAAGCGAGTGCGCGCGGCGCTGCGGCGAGAGCCACATGTTGAAAACCACCCGCCCTCGATCAGAGAAACGATATTTCTTAGAACGAATGCGCGCGCTGCTAAGCCTTAGCACCGCGCACCGCGAATGCGCGCACCGCGGTGCTAAGCCTTAGCAGCTCGGGCGAGAACCACAGTTTGAAAACCACCCGCCCTCAATCCGTGAAACTCCTGTGAATGTTCAAAACGAATGTGCGCGTCGCTGAGCCGAGAGCCACATGTTGAAAATGACCCGCCCTCAATCCGTAAAACTGTTGTAATGTTTAAAACGAATCTGCGCGTGCAAAGGCGAGAACCACACGTTGAAAACCACCCGGCCTCCATGTGTGAAACTACTAAATAGTTTAACAAACATGCGAGACGCTAATACGAGAGCCACATGTTGAAAACCACCCGCCCTCCAAACGTGAAACTGTGGCCTATGTTAAACATCAAGGCCATAGATGGTGGGAAGTCCCAAGCGAAACGCCCAGCCCGCCCTTCCACTGGCCTCGGGGTGCGACAAGGGAAAAGTCGCTTATAAGGGAAAGGAATAGACGAGGAGGAGGAGGAGGAGGAGGAGGAGGAGAAGAAGGAGGAGGAGGACGAGGATCCCCAGAAGCCTCTAGGGAGGCCCCCGCAGGCCCCCGCAAGCCCCCAGAAGCTCAAAAAGGGGCCCAGAGCCCAAACCGCTCGAAAACTTCGACCCTCGAGCCTGGAGCCTCGAGCCTCGATCCCCGATCCTCGAGGAGGAAGGGGGGCGTCCTCGTCGAACCTCGACAAGCCTCCGCCCCCAATCCACAAAAGAACCTGGATCCTCGATCCTCGACGAAGGGAGGGGGGCGACGAGGAGGAGGAACCCGACGAGGAGGACGAGGACGAGGACGAGGACGAGGACGCCGACGCCGATCCTCGATCCTCGACGGGGGGGGCGTCCTCGTCGACGCTTGCGCTCAGGTTGCCCACCCGCAGCGAGGGCTTCGGGACCCAGCTGGCGCTCCAGGCGTCCTGAGGCGGCGCCTTCGCCGTCGTCGCCTGGCCCTCGAGGCCGCGTCGGCGTCGCTGTCGCCGTCGCAGCGGTCGCGTCGTCGTCTTCCTCCTCCGCCTCCGCCTCCTCCGCCTCCGCCTCCGCCTCCTCCTCCTCCTCCTCCTCCTCCTCCTCCTCCTCCTCCTCCTCCTCCTCCTCCTCCTCCTCCAGTCCTTTCCTTGTGGAAAACTCCTCCCTGTCGCACCCCGAGGCCAGTGGAAGGGCGGGCTGGGCGTTTCGCTTGGGACTTCCCCACCATTCAAGAGCCTGAAGCTTAGAAACTGGCAACCGTTTCACAAATCGAGGGCGGATGGTTTTCAAAATGTGGTTCTCGTCGCCTTCGCGCCGCCAATATTCGGTTTAACCATTTGCAAGAGTTTCACGGATTGAAGGCGGGTCGTTTTCACAATGTGGCTCTCGCCTTAGCACCGCGCACACTCGTTGCAAACATTTATAAATCCTTCACATATTAAATGCGGGTGGTTTTCAAAATGTGGCTCTCGCCTTAGCGCCGCGTACATTCGTTTTCGAAAACGTGGCGCTTCGGCGAAAGCCACATTTTGAAAAGGAGCCGCCCTCAATCCGCGAAGCTCCTGAAAATGTTTACGTAAGACCAATTCGCGCGGCGCTACGGCGAGAGCCACATGTTGAAAACCACCAGCCCTCAATCCGTAAAGCTCTTGAACTTGTAAAGACGAGTGTGTGCGACGCTAAGGCGAGAGCCATGAAAACCACCCTCCTCCTCCTCCTCCTCCTCCTCCTCCTCCTCCTCCTCCTCCTTCTCCTCCTCCTCCTCCTGTTCTTCCCCCCCATCCTCCCCCAAGTGTTCCCCGAAGGGTTTCCACGACGGCTGGGGGAACACATGGCCCGAGAACCTGGCAGGACTCTTGCCACAACGCTCGGCCACGTGCCACGCGGGCACTCTGACACGCGCGACTCCAAGATGCAGGGGGCGGCGGCGACTCGCCGCAGGCATCTTCGATAAATGTGTCTGCGCTTCTAGGCTTAGGTCGGGCATGTCCCCCTACAGGCGGTTTTTGCACGAAAAATGAATCACATTCAAAAAATGCTCAAAATTAGTCAACAAATCGTCCCCAGGCTATCCTTTACCTATTTTTCAAGACTCCTCCTGTAGAGGGACATGCCCGACTTAGTTCTAGGCAGCATCGTGGATGCCTCGTCTCCTGCTCCCTGCAGGGGCTCTGGGCCCATGGCTCTCCGTCAGCGGGCGGGCCTGTGGCCCCAGACGGAACACTGTGCGAAGCAGGTGGCGTCGGAATGGGGCACGCAGAGACCCGCGCGCGGACATCCCGCATGGGTCTCGACGTGCATGCGTTTGGCAGGTGTTCTCGCTTGTCTTCGGCGCCAGGGGGGCCACGGGCGGGGTATCGAACCTGTGGTCGGCGACGTCTCCACAGCTAAAAACTCGCGCGCGGAGGGGGTCTCCGGTCTCCAACATGCGTCTGGCGCGTGCACGCTTAGCACGTGTTTTCACGCGTGCGGGGAGGTCAACATCTGGTCAGCGATTCTTCACAGGTAACAATACGTGCGCGGATATTTCCGGCGTCCATGGAAGCTCGCCGTGGCCAGAAAAGCACCTTCGTTCCCGAGTCAGCGTTCTTCCTCGTACCACGATGACTGTATTAGTCAGCGGTGTCCATCTCCAAGGCCTCCCCAGTTGGGGCCAGTGAAGATGGGTACGGAGGATCGCGCCGCATCGCCGATGCATCGATGGTGTGGCACGATCTGGAGCGTCATCTTCTCCATCCCGCAGTCGCCGGACAATGTCCGCGGCGTCACCGACAGCGAGTTCTGTTCAAAACGAACCAGAAATGCTGTCGGTCTTTGTACCCAAACATCCGGCCGCTCCAATTTTTTTGGTGCGCGTGCCCCAGAGGTGTGGACCACTTCTCTGGGGCCGTCTTTTCGTCCAGGGCCGCTTCCTGACGCTCCCGAGGCCTGGCGAGGGCCCCCGGAGGCCGAAAGCAGCCAAAAGCCGCCCGCTCCAATCTTTGTTGGAGCGTCGGATCTGAGATCTCAGGGCACCCATTCGGCGGTGGACAAACGAGGCCCCTTTTTTCCCATGGGCTAAACTTCGATCTCCCATGGAAAACCTCCGGGAAACCTGAGGCAAGCCGTAAAACACTCAAGGAACGCCGAGCCCCTCCCCCACGAAAAGGGTTCCTTCTTCAGCGCCCCGACTGTCCCGGCCCCCCCCACCCCGGGACCTCTCCCGGGGCGCGCTCGGACCAGGCTTCCGCGGCGAATGCCGCCGTGGCGGCGAGGGCCTCCCAGGAAGCCCGGGAGAGGGAGAGCGAGGGAGGGGCCGCGGCATGGCCGCCCCTTCCTCCTCCCGAGGGAGGAGCGGCAGAGAGGAGCTGGAACAAGGGGGGGGGCGGGGCGGGGCGGGGGGGGGGGGAGCGCGCAGCTGCAGCGGCCCGCGGCCGGCCGAGGCGCCCGACCGCGCGCGGGGCGTCTGTCCCAGAAGGCTAGGGGCCTCCTACCCTGACCTTCCAGAGAGCTATGTTTTAGCACTGGAGACCTAAAAACCTAAAACGCTGAGCGAGACAGCCTAAAACCAAGACGTAGAATAGCTTTGGGATATGTTTTTAAGTCGGGTGCTATGTTTTAGCCCTTCTGGAAGGTCAGGGTAGACGGGGGTCGCAGCAGATGGGGTCGGAGGATCGCGCCGCATCGCCGACAGACCGGCGACGCATCGGCGATGCATCGGCGACGCATCGGCCATGCACTGGCGACGTCGGCGATGCATCGGCGACGTCGGCGTGGAGAAAATTGAGCCCCACATCGAGCCGCATACCCGACGCATCGCCGCTGTCTCGGCGAGGCGGCACGATCCTCCGACCCCATCTGCTGCGACCCCACCTAGGAGGCCTAGAGGAGGAGCCCGACCGCGCGAGACGCGTCGATCCCGGAAGGAGGAGGCGGAGGGCGAGGGCGCGACAGCCGAGGGGGCGGAGGATGGCGGGGCAGAGGAGGATTCGAGGCCGATGGTTTCCGATGCCGATTCGGTTCGAGGAGAGGGAGG